TGAATACATTGCGATGGAACCTCAAGCGAAAGCGCTATTCCTGAGTACATAGATCGCAAAGAGGTCTCAGACGACAGCTTATTCTTCTTCAATAAACGGTGAGAAGTATCAGGCGGGAGCCGCTGTTGTTGTTGCTGCTGTTGTTCAGGAGCCCGACGCCCGTATCGAGGAGCGACATTTGAATACATCGAAAGGAAATATCAAGCGAGAACGCGATTCCTGAGTAGATTGCAAGGCAGTTTCCGGCAGCATATACATGTCTCAATGAACTGTGAGGATGTATCAGGCGGGAGCCGTTGTTGTTGTAACCTGGGGGCCAGGGGTCCAGTTTGACCCTCAAGTCTTCCCTGATAGAACAACAAGGTGCGAGTCCCGGGAGGTACACTTCAATTGGAATCATACAATGGTTACCAGAGGGTGGTCAACAATGATTATTCTTCAGAAATGAAAATTCAACAACAACTACCACATCAACAACACGACCAGCAACAACAACACCACAACAACAACAAAACCAACAGCAATGACAGTCATTGCAAGACTGTTCGCTCTTATCTGCTCGTGCGCCATTCATCACGCGTACCCCCAACCCTCGATACCCGCCCTCTTTGTTTTCCATCGTACCACCTTTGGGATATATGTTTCTTACCTGCAACGTGTATGTCGTGCAGCACCCCAGGCAAGGGAAGATAGGGAGGATGGAAGCAAGGGACAAGGGGAAGGGAGGAGGATGGAGCACGAGAGAGAGTACCAGGAGGGGGGCTAGGAGCAGAAAACACCTGGCAGAACCAAACAGGCAGATCGGGCGGGTAGACCTTATCGGGCGGGTCGGGAAGGCGGGCCCAGGCGGTCAGGGCGAGCAGGCGGGTTGCTGAAGCGCGCGTCCTGCATGAATCCCGAGGAAATCTCGAGCGGTAGCGCGATTCCCAAGTAAATCGTGAGGAAATCCACAGCGAGAGCGTGATTCCTGAGTGTCGAGGGCGCGATGTCTGAATAAATTGCGAAGACGTCCCACGCGAGAGGGCGATTCCTGCATACATTGTGAGGAAGTCCTGCGCGACAACGCGACTTGGGAACTCAACGTGAGGAGGTATCAAACGGGAGCTGTTGTTATTGTAAACCGGGGACCAGGGGCGCAGTTTGGTGACACCCCACCTCCCCTTGTAAAAAAACAGGGTGCGAGCATTGGGAGAAGCATTTTAACTGAAACAAATCATGGTTACCAGGCGGGGGAGGGTCAACTATATTTATTGGTTAGACATGAAATTCCACCAACACCAGCAGCAACAGCAACAACAACATCATCAACAACAGCAGCAACACCGCCAGCAACAATAACAGCAGCAACAACAACACCAACAACAACATCAGCAACAATATCAGCAACAGCAAGAGCAACGACAACAACAGCAACAAACATAACACTAAACAACAAGTACCAAACAGCAAGCACCAAACGCCAAACAACAAGCAACACACCACAAGTCATAAACTAGTGACAAACGCCAACAACACGCACCAAACAACAAACACACATCAACAGCAACACCAACAATCAGTTTAAGACTGTTCGCTTTATCTGCTCGTGCGCCATTCCACAAGTATATCAGTATAGTTCAAACCCTCGATACCCGCCCTCTTCGTCTTCGGTCGTACCCCCTTGGGAGTATATCTTTCTGATCTGCAACGTGTATTTCGTGCAGGCGGTAACTCGGGGGTCAGGGGCCCAAATCTGAGACCAGAAGTTTTCCCTGTTAAAGAACAGGGTGCGAGCCCCGAGAAAGGCACCACAATTGAAAATGTGAAATGTGCCCCGGAGCGGGGGTGCAACAAAATTTAACCTTCAGCAGCGAGAGTTCAACAACAAAATCAAAAAACAGTAGCAACCACAACAACAGCAGCAGCATCAACCACAACACCAACCGCAGCAGCAGCAGCAACAATAATAAACAACAACAGCAACAGCAACAATAACAGCAACAACAACAACAACAACAACAATAATAACAACACATACACCACCACCACCACCAACAACAACACTAAAAACAACAAGCACCACAACAACAACAACATCATCATCATCAACAATAACAACATAAACAACAACAACAACCAACAACAACAACACCAACAACAACAACAACAACACCAACAACAACAGCAACAACATCAACAACAGCAGCAACAACATCAGTGTCAACAACAACACCACCAATAACAACAACAACAACATTAACAACATAAACAACAACAACAACAACAACAACAACAACAACAACAACAACAACAACACCAACACCAACACCAACAACAACAACAACAACAGCACCATCACCATCACCAACAGCAACAATACCACCAACAACACCACCAACAACAACAGCAACAACAACAGCAACAACAACAACAACAGCAACAACAACAGCAACAACAACAACAGCAACAACAGCAGCAGCACCAGCAGCAGCAACGACAACAACAGCAACAGCAACAGCGGCAACAGCAGGAACAACAGCAACAACAGAAACAGCAACCACAGCAACAGCAACCGCAGCATCCAACACTAAGGTTCGGAGCCCCGCGCGGACTCCTGGGATCGGCGCTCGGCGCCCCACTCCCTGGCGCTCGGCGCGCGCCAGGGGCTGTCGCCTCCAAGGAGGCTTTAGAGCGCGGGGCCACTCAGAGGAGGAGGAGGATGAGGAGGAGGAGGAGGAGAAAGAGCCGAGGAGGAGGGGGAGGGGGAGGAGTAGAGAGGAGGAGGAGGAGGAGGAGGAGTATGTAGGAGAGGAGGAGAGGAGGAGGAGAGGCAGGAGGAGAGAGGAGGAGGGAGGAGGAGGGAGGAGTAGGAGGGTCGGAAGGCGGAGGAGGAGGGGAGGAGGAGGAGGAGTAGGGGGGGGGGGGGGGGGGGTGGGATGAGGAGGAGGAGGAGAGAGGAGATGAGGAAGGAGTAGGAGGAGGAGTAGGAGTGAAGGGGAGAGGAGCGAGGAGGAGGAGTATGTGAGGAGGATGAGGAGGAGGCGGAGGATTGAGGAGGGAGGAGGAGGAGAAGGGGCTGAGGAGGGGTGGGATGAATGAGGAGGATGAGGATGAGAGGAGGTAGGAGGATTAGAAATATGAGGAGAAAGATGGGGAGTAGATGATTGGGGAGGAGAGGAGGAGGAGGAGGGAGGAGGAGGAGGAGGAGGAGGAGTAGGAGGAGGGGAGGAGGAGGGAGGAGATGATGATGAGGAGGAGGAGGAGTAGGAGGAGTGCGAGGGGAGGAGGAGGGGGGATGGTGAGTAGGAGGAAGGAAGGGAGGATTAGGTAGGAGGAGTAGGAGGAGGAGGTATGAGGGAGTAGGTATGAGGAGGAGGAGGAGGAGTAGGAGGAGGAGGAGGAGGAAGGAGGAGGAGAGGAGGAGGAGGAGGAGGAGGAGTTAGGAGGAGGAGGAGGAGGAGTTGTGGGAGTAGGATGGAAGATGAGTGATGGAGGGGAGGAGGATTAGAGGAGGTTAGGAGGAGGATGAGGAGGAGTAGGATGATGATGAGGAGGATTAGGAAGTAGGAGTATAGGAAGGAGGAGGAGGAGGAAGGGAGAGGGAGGAGAGGAAAAGGGGGGGGGAAGTTGGAGGAGGAGGAGGGAGGAGAGCCTCCGACGAGTTGCCGTTTCTCCAATGTGTTCTTCGACGACTGCCTCGCGCGCCCGGCACCCACCTGGGCCAGGCGAGGCCTCGGGCCTGCGCCCTGGGGCGCCACCCCCCGGAGGAGCCCCCCCGGTGGCGCAGGCGGCGGCGGCAGGCGCAAGGCCGAGGAGGAGGAGGAGGAGGAGGAGGAGGAGGAGGAGGTGGTGAGGAGGAGGTGGAGGGGAGGGTGGGTGGGTGAGAGGGAGGGAGTGAGGGGAGGGAGGGAGGGAGGGAAGGGTGGAGGAGGAGGAGGAGGAGGAGGAGGCGGAGGAAGAGGAGGAGGAGGAGGAGGCGGAGGAGGAGGCGGAGGAGGCGGAGGAGGAAGGAGGAAGGAGAAGGAGGGGCGAGGAATGCGTTGGGTCCGCGCAGGACGTCGCCCCGCTGGACGCCTCCGGGGAGACCCCAGGCAGGCTGCGGCAAGCGCAAGCCTGGCACCGCCGGGGAGCGGCGAGGTTCACCCACCTCGAGTCTGCGCAGGACGCCGCCCT